TATAGTGTACTGCCCTTCTTTCCGAAGCCATTTGGGTTGAGACCACATGCGGTCATAATTTTACACTCATCATGTCTACGGCACCCTTCTGTCTTAATGTATTCATGACCCGTTTGTTAGGAGCCCTGGTGCTGGTAGCGCCATCGCTTATGTTTGCTGTATCCCTGAAGACTCAGTTGCAAGATCATCCAGACCCTTGGGCCAGAAGGTGCGAGGAGAAATCGGCCGCGAGCCGGAGGGATGAGCTAGATTACGGACCTTGCTTCGATGAGGAGGAGGTGGAGACGGCTATGCGCACTAGTTTTTTCATTGGCCGAACCGCCGTTCCCGCTTCAGATTTTGCAATACATGGGCAGCCGCCACATTCGAACTTTGGTGTCAATTTTTCTGCCACTGCACCGAATTCCCCGAAGTCTACCCCCAGCGCTTCTGATTCGAAACAGAAAGCTCCTACATCGATATTCACTGAGGTCGACATGCTATGCGACACCGTTCCAAGACCATTGTCCGATAGCGACGAACGACTGGGCGCTGGCAACCCAGTTTGCCGGTACGAGCCGTCTGAGGTGGTGTTGCAGCATTACAGTGAGAACCCAGAAGACATTGCGATCGTCATCCCGAGCAACTACCAGAAAGACAGCAATGTGTCCGACAACCCTGGCGACCATGACCCTCTTTTTCTTGGCGTACTTGCTTGGAAAATGTATGCCAGGTTTCATGGGTATGGTTTTTACAGTGGCCCGCCTGAGAACAGCTGCCCCGAGCTGAAGGAGCAGCATCCAGCGTGGACAAAGCCGTGCATGGCCATGGACTTGATCAAGAAGCATGAATATTTGATCATTGTGGACAGGGACACCACAGTAATCAAGCCCCGGCTGCGCTTGGAGCCCCTTTTCAACGTGGCTGGCCTGATGGACAAAGGGGGCAAAAAGATCTTAGCCGTTGCTGAAGAGTGGGGTTCTTGCAAGAAGGGCGTCCGCTCTCCGCTGAGCGGCGACGTGAACACTGGTATAGTACTCTTGAGACGGTCTCCGGCCACGACAGAGGCCCTGGCTAGTTGGTTCTACGGCCCCACTTGGTGCAAGAACGTTGCCACGGCACCAGTGCAGAGACCTGTGTGGTGGCCTTTTCACACAGAACCTTGCCAAGGGTGCAGCTGCATCACGCAGGGGGTCGACAATTGGTCGTACGACCAGGTTGGTTTCTATGCCAGCGTAGCAAACAATGAGTCTTTCAGAAGCATGGTCACTGCTTTCCGTTCGGGCTGCCCCATCAATAGCCCTTTTGCAGATTTCATTCCCCACCTGCTATCAGGAACTCCGACTAAGGCGACCTACGACGTCAACCACCGCGCAGTCGTCTCCAAAAATTTGCACGCATGCATCAGCGATTTGCTGAATACAGGGCAGGGCAAAGGTAATCCTTACGCGCGTTGCTCCATCTGTGACGCCTTGCCTGAGCTATCATGGTCTGGCAGCGGATCATGGTCCTTGTCATGCCGCAGTCATTCCCCCGTACCTAGTTCACGCGTGAGTAATCGGGGCAGCTTTGGTGAGGACTGTTCAGTCCCACCTTATTGTGCTTCGATGGCTTCCTGAGCTTGGCCGAATCGAAGCGTAGGGCAGGGTACTCTGCTCGAGATCAGTCATAGCACAGCTCGAGGCCGGTTCGAACCTCGTTGCGTAATAGACTCCAGCCGAAATTGTCGGTTCTATGATCAGTTCAAAGAGGTTCGTCATCGCCGCCATCGCATTCACCACCACTAGCATGATCGTCGTCGTCATGATTTATGTACCTCGACCGAGACGGTGTTAGAATCATCATCACCACCATCATCGACATCATCGTCCATTCTCAGTATCGTCGTAATCGTCTTTCTTCCTCATCCTTCCCTTCTCTTTGTTTCTCTACCCTTCCTAACTCCTCCCTCGTCTTTCTTCTGTCATCCCTTTTCCACTGCTCCTCATGCCCCCCTTCTTCATCCCCCTTCTCGTGCACCGTTACCCTCTTCTACCATGTTGCTTCTTACTCGCCCATTGCCCAACCCTCATGATTTTCCCTCCTCCTGCCCATTCCTCCTTTTCATCGTCGTCCTTATTCTCCTTGGGTATCTCGTTCCTTCTCCTTCCTCCCTCCTCCGTCATCCCTTCTCCTGCCTCCATTGCTCTTACCTCACTTCGCCTGCTTCCGCCCTCCTCTTGACTGTTCCTTTCTCCTCCTACTCCTGTTCCTCCTGCTGCTGTTCGTCCTCCTTCCTCCTTTCTCATCTCATAAGCGTTCTGCTCTTCCCTCCCCCACAGCATCGTTATCCGCCTCCTCCTCCTCCTTCTCCTCGTCTTCCTTGTCCTCCCCATCTTCCCTCTCCGGATCATCCTCTCCCATCTCCTCCTCCTCCTAATCTTCCTCCTCCTCCTCCTCCTCCTCCCTCTCCTCTTGTTTTGGTCGCGCACCTTCACTGTGCGTGGCGCCGTGCCGTCTCCACAGTGATTGATGATGACGTTTATGAAGATGATGATTGCGTTGACGATATTGTCGGCGATGTTGTTGCTGCCGACTGCCGAGCCGTGGTCATACTTTGTTGGCGCATGCTGGGGATTTGCCTGGCTGGAATGGTCCTATTGCATGCGTGATTCGCGCTCGCGTACGTATTACAATTGCCCGTATGTTCTATCTTTTTCCGTGCTTTGCGCTTGCTTCTGTTTAACCCCTTATCTTATCGGACCTGCCTCGCTGAAGGCCCCGCCCTGCCGCAAAAGCAACGGGCTGCAATGCAAACAAAGTAGGGCGCAAAAGAAAACAATGAAACGAAAATGGCAGCACCGCGACAGAAAGCGAGACAACGAATGCACAGCCACACAATGGATTGAGCTGTGCAGGACCCAGTCGCGCTGCACTAAAAAGCAAGGCTTTGCAACGTCCAGTATGTGCCAGCGATTTCTATTAGGCATTCCCCTCGATTTCTGCAACGCCTCCGGGAGCCTGCCCAATCTACATTTTTAAGAAGCCGTCTTCGGGGCGCTGCAGCGCCAAGATGGTCTCCATAGTGTCATCGTGAATGCCACCACGGTCCCAGGGCCCCAGGGCTCTCAACTAATTTGTCGGTCTGCTGGTCGCGCCTTCCACGATATGTTTGTTATGACTTAGTTTCGTCACTGCGAACAACGGTTCCTATCGAGACGCGCTTTCTGCGGAAATATGCGACTCAAGTTCTTGGAACACAAATTCGGTCCGCCCCCCCCAGACCAGGCGCTGCGGGCCAACATACTGTCCATACTGATTCGGTGAATACCTCTAGGTATGGCTTTACTGCAGGAGACCGGTCCCGTGATCGTGCCTTTTCTCTGTTTCTTGTAGGTTTTTCATGGCTTCGTATTACATTAATTAAAACAAAGACAGAGAAGCAAATACATATTATCAAAGGGAGAGACTTTTCTTGTCCAGGGTACAATCAGCTTACGCTAAAGACGGAGAGATAAAACGAGGGAGAGAGTTCTAGGCTTCCACGGGGACTCCCACAGGGGCTCTTATCAATATTATTGCTAGGGCCCGTTCCTTAAAGTTGTGTCTCCCCGGTAGGACTCTTAGTGAGGGCTCTACAACAACACTTAGTAAGTATCCCTACTAGCACTCCTGGGTGGACGCCGTACTAGGACTGCTAGCGCGACCCCATACGCGAAGACTCTTAGTCCGATTCCCTACGTGGCCTCTTCAATGGGATTCCCTACTGGGACCGTTGGCGAGGCTCCTTACTAGGACTCCTTAGCAGGGCTCTTTACGTACCAAGACTCTGAGTAGCCCCCTCCGCAGGGCCCTGTCTATGACCCCCCGCGAGAACTCTTAGCTTCGCTCCCTACTAAGACTCATAGTTGGCCTCACTGCTACGACTATGAGCAAAACTTCCCAGCATCATCGCTGGGGAAGCGCTGGGCGAGCGCGAGCTCGATTTTCGCACCCGTGGAATTCATCGCAGGGGAAGCGCCGAGCGTGTGCGCCACTCGACATTGTGGAAACTGCCCATGACATCCGCGGTCTCGATTTTCGCGCTCTCAGCGACTTATCGCAGGGGCAGTGCCAGGCGTGCGCGCCATTTGACCCTTTGCAAACTGCACAGAAAATCGGCGGGCTCGATTTTCGCGCCCGCTGAATTTACCGCAGGTGAAATGCCTGGCGGCATTCGACCCTTTTTGGGGGAACTGCCCAGAAATTCCGCGGGCTCGGTTTTCGTGCCCGCGGAATTCATCGCAGGGGAAGCGCCGAGCGTGTGCGCCATTCGACGTTATGGAAACTGCCAAGGAGTTCCGCGGCTCCAAAACTGACTCCGCGAAATGTTCCGGCATCTTCGAAAGTGTAGAGTGGCTCGCTCGCTCGGCGCTCGCCCAGCGATGAATTACAGGGGCGTGGACTGGTGTACACGTGGGCAGATGCTGGGACTGGAGCTCCAAACCTTTCGCTTACTAGACCTACGCTCGGGCCATTGAGCTACATAGAGGCCCTGGAACAGCAACAACACATCTTGCTCCCAATAGCTGCTGCAACAAGTCATGTTTTCATGTGCGCGTAGGGCCCATGCAGGCGAAGTTTGAGCGGACGCCGCGTTCCTGAGCCTCGCTCGTCAGGCCACGCTCCTAGGCTACAGGGGGTGCGCCACCACGCCGCCGTTCCGCGCCGCCAATAAAACCACGTGCCCACAAGCCACCCCAAGGAACTCATCGACCCCCTCTAGAGAGCAAGACCACAGGCCCGCCTTGCTGGCTCCCAATGCCCTGGGGGCCTCGATACAGCCTCTCGGGTCTTTCCGAGAGGCTGTTGTTTGGGGCCGAGGGCCCAGGGCAGTGGGAAGGCCATGGGGTAATTCAGGTGACGATTTTGGATACCATGCTGGCGAAGGGGAACGGGGGACGAAACGGAGGTATAGGAGAAGGACAAGGCGTGAATCCATGGGGGAATCCAAGCTGGGAAACATCGGCGCCGAAGAAATGTGGAGCCCTTTCTCAGAACGTCCCAGGCCAAGAAATTGTATCCTCGGGGGCTGAAGCGAAAACCCAATTTTCAGTGCTGTCAGTGCTGCCAGTTTTTTGGGGACGGTCCAGATACGATGTCAACATGTCTTTGCCCTGCGTCATGCGCCGCCCAGTCAAAGGAACATGTGTCTAGGTGGGGGGCGGAAGCTGCGAAAGGAGGGGATATGTCGGAACAAGCTGACGAGGAGGCGGATGAAAGCAAGAGCGGGGAAGAGGGGGACGAGGAGGGACGAACAAGGCATTTGAGGGGTGATCCCGAGACGAAATGCCCAGAGCGGCCCGCGAAAAGACGGACACGGACACGGGAGCGACAGAGGCGCGAAACGACAGAGTCAGGAAGCGCCCGAGACGGAAGTAGCGGATGCGAACTTCGTCGGAGAGGGTGCGAGGTCTTTTGGCAGAGGGGAGACGGAGGCGGTGGAAAATGAGCAGGAGGAGGAGCGGGTGCAACATCATGCGAGCAGCAGGGGGGAGGAGGGAGGAGGCACGAGGAGGAAGGGAGAAAAGGAAGGGAGGAGACAAGGGATTGGGAGGGAGGAGGAGAGCGAGAAGGTGGTGGAGGAGGAGGAGGACGAAGAAGAGGAGGACGGGGAGGAGGAGGAGGAGGAGGAGGAGGAGGAGGAGGAGGAGGAGGACGAGGAGGCAAAGGAGGAGGAGGGGGAGGAGAGGAAAAGGAGGGGGAACAGGAGGAGGAGGAGGAGGAAAGGGCAAGGGGCGGGGGTCGGAAGGGAACAAGGGGAGAGGCACTGAGCAAGGAACATCGACTAACCGGGTCCGACGAAGAGCGGGGTATGCACCCCATCGAGACCAAGAGGGCATTGTCAGTAATTTCTGCCTCGGAGCCGCATCCATTGGGTCTCAGACAAGAAGTCAGGACCCGCAAGGCAAATCATGTTGGGGAGTGTAAGAGACCGCCAGGAATAGGGACGATAGTCTACTTTCACGTGTCAGCAGTCGCCCCAGAGGTGAGAAGAACATGTCGGCTCACCCATAAGAAGCATGACATCCTGGCCAGACAAGGAATATCGAAGACGCCTACGGCGAATCAGTGCCGCCCCCTGCCTTTTGCAAATGCCCATGTGGCCAAACGCTGGGCCGAAGTCTAGCCAAGCTATTGAAATATGTGTGTTCCCCAGCCGTTGTGGACCCTCGTGGGGGAAAACTGGGGAGATGAAGAGACAGGAGGAGATGGAGGAGAAGGAGGAGGAAGACAAATAGGAGGCCTCTTCAGGTCCGCTTGGGGCCTCCGATGGCCTCCGAGGGTCCAGGTGCACAGCCGTGGCAAACGTTCCTTCAAGTTGCCGTGGCGAAGGTATATCCCATCCCTCTTACGATTCCTAAGAGCACGATGGTGGTGTCGTTCGGCGCAGTAGTTCCCGATCCGCCTGGTGCTTATAACTCTGTTGCTCTAAGACTGGACTGGAAACTACTCCGCGCTAGCGGGTGCGTCGAGGTCTCCCTTAGTGGGCGGCCGTTGGCAGCCCGTGGGCGCCACATAGCTTACTCCACAGAGCTTGCACCACGTAGCTTGTACAACATGTCTCACACCGCATCGATCTCCCTTTCTGAAGAGAGAAAGGCTGGGGCTGTCGGTCCCCCATGGGGCGTTGCGATTTATATATGATCATTTTGAATCGGTCGTTATCCATATGAAATCATACCATCCCAGCCAGGCCAGAGTCGACACCCTTGTCACCCTTGTCAAGTAATTCTATGCGCGTGCATTTGCTTATCTCAAAAAATCAGTGTTCACGAGTCCATTCCAACAGAAATGCCACAACATCCGCACGCGTTCGCACATGTCGAAACTGGACCAAACACGTTGTGCAAACGCTTCATAATAATAAAGGCACAACACAGCACCACATGCTTTTTCAATGACAGTGTTGCAGATGTTCTGCCCGCGCGCTTGTGCAGAAACCTGGTGAAACAAAAAACGCATGCTTTTAGCAATATCGTCCAGAACCCGCATTCTCATCTTACCAGGCGACGGGAGAGTTGCAAATCGCGCTGACGCCTGACCGCAAGCTGCCTTCTGAGTTGGGAACTGCGCGGCCGCCCTGGATAAACCTCTGATTGCGAGTGGTGGTCCGACTGAGCGCTGGCCACACCCGTGACTACCAATGGCGCTCTTGCCCTGCGTTGGCCACATCTTTGATCGGGAGCGGTGCTTTCGCTGGAAGGCCGTCCTTAACCTTGCGATAATATATTCAGCGGATCCATCACGCACGGGTTCTCCAGGTTGTCCAGCGAGTTGTCCAGGAATTTTTGGTGATACGTTTTTTCCATGAGATATGATATCCGTAAGGGCTTCGCCCCATGCCGCCGGCCCCCATGTCTCGGATCAGTGTCCGAACCTGTTTGTTGTTCGACCCTGACCATACCGATTTGCACGAAAAGTGCCACCGAATTTCAGAAATGTGGCAAATCCCTTGTTTTTTTACCCTAACCCTACGGATCTGCGTGAGGGATGCCGCCGAATTTCAGAAATTTGGCAAATCCCTTGTGTTTTTGAACCCTGACCCTATCGATCCGCGTGAGGGGTCCCACCGAATTTGAGAAATGTTGAGAATCCCTTGGGTTTTCGGACCCTGACCCCGCCGATCTGCGTGAGGGGTGCAATCGAATTTCAAAAATGTGGCAGATCCAATGTTTTTGGACCCTGACCCCGCCGATCTGCGTGAGGGGTGCCACCGAGTTTCAGAAATGTGGCAAATCCCTTATGTTTTTTGACCCTGACCCCGCCGATCTGCGTGAGGGGTGCCACCGAATTTCGGAAATGTGGCAAATCCTTGGTGTGTTTTTGAACCCTGACCCCGCCGATCTGCATGACGGATGCCACCGAATGTCAGAAGTGTGGCAAATCCCATGTGTTTTTGGACCCTGACCCCGCCGATCTGCGTGAGGGGCGCCAGCAAATTTTAGAAATGTGGCACATCCCATCTGTTTTTGGACCCTGACCCCGCCGATCTGCGTGCGGGGTGCCAATTCTTATTCACCCCAGCAATTCAGACAACACGCTCAGGGCGTGCTAAACCTGCCCGTTTGGGCCTCCCCCCCCGCGCGCGGTCCATCAACAAGGAACAGCAAGAAGCATAACTGTAACAGTGGAAACTGGAAGCTGCAACTGGCACAGGAAACTGCGAACCTTCGGCCTACAGCCTGGTGGCCCCACAAGGGGGCCGGCGGATTAGAATTCGCCGCAATTATTTTGTCAACCGAAAGTCTTCCAGGTTTATAGAATTTCTGCGCGCCCCCACTTTCGTTGCCACCCTCATCAGCGCCATCGCATCACTGCCGTTTGTCGTCATCGCCAATCTCCGCATTTGCCGCGGTCCTCGTCACAACCACCTTCATCACCGACTCAGGGACATCATCATCGTCATCGTCGTCCCTGGCATCGACGCCGTCGTCATCGTCATCATCGCCACCACCATCGCTATTATCATCACCATCATCAGCAGTACCATCATGACCATCAATACCAGCACTACCATCATCACCATCATCGTCATCATCATCATCATCATCTCCGTAACCATTTTGGCTCAAGCCATTTGCGCATTTGAGTTGGCTCCGTCACATTTGTGCTTGTTGATACACTTCGTGGCATCTCGGAGGCTAACATCATTGGCAAAGCGAAGCGGGCGCTTCAGAGGTTCGCTGTGCAGTACTTCGTGGCCTGTGCTGCGTCGCCTCCGCCGCCCAAGGACTCCAGCAGTCCGACCAAAGACTTGGAGGAGATGTGCTCCATGCTGTCCCGCGCGGCTGGTGTGATAATCTCCCGCCCAACCGCGGCAATCGCTTTCCTTTGTTCGACCGGCGTTGATAGTTTCGAGAAGAGGGTCTCCAAATTGGCATCTCGTCGCAACCATGCTGCTCACCCTGATGGAGGTCGTTTTCGTGATCTTTCGGCTGCGATGGAAAACATTCCTCATGCAGCTCGTTCCCAGTATGCTGCGACGTTTCGGCCCCGCGGCAACTCGAAACGCGCGGCGGATGCGAGCAGCGAGACCGACTTCTCACGGACTGAGCAGAGCGCCGACGAGGAGGTGCGCGCCGCCGACGACCGCAAAGCGGACGTTCTCACCGACTCCTAGTCTGACAAGAGCGCCGCGAATTCCGACGACGAGCGCGGAGAGCCCCAGCTCGTTGGCGTAAAGGTCAAGGATTTCAAGTACTGCCGAGATAAGATCGTATCAGGTCGAGGAGTGATAGCCGAGCTTGATGCTCGCAAGAGCAAGCTGTTTTTAGCTTGCAAATCAGAAAACAATCATTTTCCCTTTGGGGCCCAAGCTCGCAGACGCTAGGAAACGGCGTGTGAAGTCGCCAAAATGCGAAATTCCGACGCGCAGCTGCCGAATCAAAAAGTGAAGTTGCAAACCCACCGAAGGCGGCTACATGCGCAAATCAGCAATGCGTATCCATCGATACCTACGCATGCGCATATATATATATATATATATATATATATATATACGCATGCACCCGCGTCGTACCATGTCATTACGCCAGAGAAACCAAACCAGTAGATATCAGTGGATGGTTGAGAAATTAGTAACGTTGATATTGATGTCGATTGCGATATCGGCAGTGGAAGCGACGCCGGGGGCGAGACTGTGAGGTCGATCGCGAGACCGTGAGTGACGTCGGTTCAATGAGATCGATGGGGAGATCGATCGCGAGATCGCTCGTGCGATCGCTTGGGAGATCGCTTGTGATATCGATAGTGAGATTGGTTGTGAGATCGACGGTGAGCTCGATAGAGAGGTGGGTAATAAGATCGACGGTGAGACCGATCGATAAGAAGATCGACCAGGAATCCGGGAACCCGGGAACCCCGCCGCCCACCGAAATCGACCCGGAACCAACCTGGGAACCCGGGGGTAAGAACCCAGGAACCAGGCTACCCACCAAAATCGGCCCAGAATTTCCGCCAAATCCTTCAATTTCCGGTAGGACCCTTTGAGTGGAAAGAGCGCGTTTTGTGGTCGCTTGGAGGGGGAGGGGGGTTTTGGAACCGGAGAACGCCCACCCCCCCTTTCCCTTCTTTTCCTTTCTCCCTCTCCTCGGGCCGGCGTCGACGTCGGCGGCGGCTGGCGGCGGCGGGGGTGCTGGTGGTGGTGGTAGTGGCGGCGGTAGTGGTAGTGGTGAGGTGGTTTGTGGTGGTTGTGGTGGTGGTGGTGGTGGATTGTGCTGCTGGTAGTAGTGGTGGCGGTTGTGGCGGTGGTGGTGGTGGTGTGATAGATTGTGGTGATGGTGGTGGTATTGGTGGTGGGTTGTTGTATTGGTGGTGGTGGTGGTGGTGAGCTGTTGTGGTGGTGGTGGTGGCTGTGGTGGTGGTTGTGTGGTGGTTGGGGTGGTGATGGTGGTGGTCGTGGTGGTTTGTGGTGGTGGTGGTGGTGGTGGTAGTGGTGTTGGTGGTGGTGGTGGTAGTGGTGCTGGTGGTGGTGGTGGGTGGTGGTGCTGGTGGTGGTGGTGGTGGTTGTGGTGGTGGTGGTGGTTTGTGGTGGTGGTCTTGGTGGTGGGTTGTGGTGATGGTGGTGGTTGTGGCGGTGGTGGTGATGGTCAGCGCCAGCGCCGGCGCCGGGGAGGGGGGATTTCGGGAGTGAGGGGGGTTAGGGGGGAGGGGAGTCCCCCTGGTTCTGATCTGATCGACGGCGCCGAGTGTTGGGGGGAGGGGGCCCACCCCCCGGTTCGAAACGCGCCGCCGAATGTTCCCAAGGCAAGCGCCCATGCAACGCGCTCTCTCTTTCAGTGCAAGCGCTGGCGCAGATTGGGATTTTTTTTGAGAAACGAAGTCGTGCGTAAATCCGCCGACGGAGTAAATCGACACAGAAGGCGGGCCAAAGCAGGAGTCCGCCGACTGGCCGGGGAGGGGGGTTGGGAGAGTTCAGGCGAGGTTTATTTTGTTTGGTAGTGTCGCCCGGGCTGCAGGTTTCGGACCAAGCTTAAGTGCTGCCCTGGTAAAATCATCGCGCATATTTCTGAGCCCGCAGAGCGGGGGTCACGGCGAGCCCCCAGGGGGAAGCGTGCACGCAGATTTTGCAATCAGGGGACGTGTTAGGGATACTGTTCTGATGAGGGTTGGCACTAATCATTGCAATGTTTCTTTGGGGCGTATAAAGGGGATTAGGCGGTCTGTGGGGCCAGCGAGAGGCCTTTTGGGATCCATGGGGCACGACATGCGTCAGGGGCGTGGCGACTTGATGCTCCACAAAACCGTCTCGGGGGCCAGCTGAGCGCCCAACATTCACGAAGTGCGTGAGGGGTGTACCGAAGTGAGGTTCTCCTTGAGTGGGAGGGTAATTCTTTAGTATTTCTTACGTCTCGCAGGAGCCTCCAGGCCTGAATCGTTTGTTTTGGCACGTGTCCCAGGAGCCTGAGAGTGCAGATGATCGTATGTTCACGCGTCCCAGTAGAGTGGGGCTGGGAATGCGCGAGGAGGTTTAGAATTGAGCCATTCGTGTCCCTCGGAACGCAGATCCCTTCTATGTTCCACGTGCCCAAGTAGAGTGTGGACCAGGAGATGCGTTAGGGGTGGGCCGACATGGCAATATCGTAGCCCTGAAGGCGCTGCTCACTCGTAGTTTTACGCGTCCCAGAATGATGTCAGAGAGGAAATGCGTGTGAGGTGCGCCGAAGCGAGAATTTCGCAGCCCCGAGGGCGCTTCTCACCATGTTTTTACGTGCGCCGGGAGTTGTCACGCGCGTGGGCCTGGCGCTGGGAGCATTGCTTAAAATCTTTAAGATTTGCTACGTCTCCCCAGGAGGGTGAATAACATCGGCCAGCATTGATAGAACCGACCGGCGGAATCCGCGAGGGCGCAATTAGCATGCATTTTACGCATGCTTCTCAGAATCCCCCATTTCATGTTCGTATTATCATCTGCTTCTCTCGAAAGCTAACACGGCGAGGGCCCGCCGAATCTGATCACTTCGCTCATTCCGCCGGCCCAGACTATTCCATCGCGGGCGTTTGCCCGCGTGTTCGTTACCATTGCGGCGCTGAAGGGTGGTGGTAGTTTCCTCGAAGTGCTGCATGTATGGTCATGTGGGTTTCGGGGCAGAGGGTTCAAAATGGCTATTCGTGTCCCCCCTCTTGGGCTCCGCTTGAGGCGCTTTCGGACCGTCTTCGGGACGTTCGTTGTAGCATAGTTGGCACTTGATGGCCGGGGCATTTTTGAAGCCTCGTGGGGCCTCTCGGGGGCATCTTGGGCGCCTCTTGGGGCCTGTTGAGGGGGTTTGGGGGGGCCTCTGGGGGCCTCTCGGGGGACTCTTAGAAGTCTCTTGGGGCCCTTTTTGGTGTTTTCTGGCGGTGCGTGCGGGGGGTGATCTTGAAGGGTTCGAAAGTTCAGTTCGGGCTCCCCCTCTTCTGACTTCTCGTTGGTTTGGAGGCTTCTCTGGAGGCCTCTGGGGCCGTCTTGGGGCCCTCTCGCGGATGTCCTGGGGGCCTGTTGATTTGAATTGTGACAATCTTGAGGACTGAATGGGCCGTCTTGGGCGGTCGGAAGATTGAACAGGGGGTACCGCCAAAATCGCCCAACAACGAATGTAAACGCATGAATTTTAGCCTCCTTGGGGCTTCTTGGAGTTGTACTTGACCATCTGGAGGCTATCTTGAAGCCTTACGGAAGTGTATAGTGGGAGGTCATCGAAGAACTTGCCACCCGTGGATCTCGACTCGAATGACCTCTTGGAGCTTTCTTGGGGTCCCTCGGTGCGTTCCTGGGGCGTTCTTGGGGGCCCTGAAGACCGCCCGCCCCTGGGAATTCCGGGATCTGGGACACTGGTCGCCCAGGACTTGCTTGGGAACAGACCAGGGTGCTTTTCGTGCTGGGACCCCCAGGGGCCGCCATGCGGACGCGAACGAGAACAATCGAAGCTTGTCACCGGAGATTTTAGCACGCCTTTGGCCCGCTGGGCCGTCGAATTTAAACTGGCGCTTCTCCAGCCAACCAGGGCCGCCCAGAACCGACTAACATTTCACTTCGCTGTTTGTACAGTTGTGTCATCTGACAGAGGGGGATCGATAGTCAATTAGTTCGTTCCCGTCTGGGGGAAATGCTGTTGCGTGTTTGTGTTGTTCTGCTGATTTGCATATCGATCCCCTGCTCAGCCGAAGCATGCTTTGGTTATTTGTTTCTGGCGGGCACACATGCTCAAGTGTCAAATTTTGCTGGTATCTTCGACATGCAGCCGTACCGCACAATGTACTCTTACAGCGCGTATCATCATAATACTTGCTCTTCCCTGTCACTACCTCCTCCGTCCTCGTCCTCGTACTCCTCCTGCGCCCTCCCTCTTCCTCATCATTGTCTCCCTCGCCTCCCAGGAAGGAGGTATGCCTCGACAGCCTCCCTACCACCAGCATGGAGGTTACAATGGGCACGCCAAGTAAGAAACCGGCCTGCCAGCAGATGCCCCAGGGAGATTTCTTACTAACGTACGTGCCCGCTGTGCACCTCCAGCTGGGACTTTGGCTTCCACGGGCAGTCGGTGCAGGGCTCGACCTAAACCGTGTTTTGGCGATTTCTTGTGCCGTTTTCGTTTCGACTCCGTTTTGCTGCAAAGGCGGAGTGAAGACAAAACGAGGGGAAACAAAAAAACACGAAAACGAAAAACATTGCTTAGCTCCAGCCCTGGCTGGGATGTTTTGGCCACCACGGCCAGCCGGGGGACGGATTCCCGGCATCACTGGCAGGCAAGGCGCCATCCTGGTGTTCCTGCCCGGCCTTCACGACATACAGGCGCCAGGGGGGGAGGGTGATCCGGGCCGTTCTTGCTGCTGCTGCTGCTGCTGCTGAAACTTATCCTCCATATCCTCCTCCTCCTCCTCCGCCTCCTCCTCCTCCTCCTCCCTCTCTCGTTTCCTACAGCTCGGCTCCTCCGCCTTCCCCTGGCCATCCAGCTCCTCCAAGTCCTTCCACTCCAGTTCATGCTGCTACAGTTCGTCCTCCTCCTCCTCCTTCCCCATCCTCTTTCTCTTCCTCTTGCTCATCCTCCTGCTCACCCGCCACCTCCCCCTATGTTACTAGCTCCCCTCTTTCCAATTGCCCACAACATGATGAGGCCGTTTTGGGAGTTCCAGGTCACGCGTCCGCGGATAGAGAAAATGCCAGCCAGCGCAGTCTCCAAATATATCGGAAGACTGAAGCGAAGTGGACTGGAGTCGACTAACGTAGACTAGGCTGCAGTAGGCTGGATTGGACTGGGGTGGACTGTTCTATTCTACTCTACCTTATTATGCCCGACTCTTCTCTACCACCTGGCCTACTTTACTCAACCCTACTCTGATATACCCTACACTACCCACACCTAATATACTCGACTCTTCCCTACTATACGTACTCTACTCTGTC